GACTTAACAACGGCAGCGATTCACTTAACAACTGTGTTACTGACTTAACAACGGCAGCGATTCACTTAACAACTGTGGCAAGAAAGGTTGTAAAATGGGGGTAAAATATACTCTAGTTTCTCTTCAGATCGTATAAATCTTTTGCCCACTTAATAAATATGTTGAGTTGAGTTGAGTTGAGTTGAGTTTATTGGTCTTGTATGCCGCCCACTCCCGGAGGACTCCGGGCGGCTTACAATAAAAAGGGGAAGGGGATAAATAAGACAAAACAACAATTTAAAATACAACAACATACATAGTTACCGTGGGGCTGGATACTTCAACAGCCCCCGGCCTGCCGGAGCAGCCAGGACTTAGTGGCCTTACGGAAGGCCGGGAGGGTAGTAAGGGTCCGGATCTCCACGGGGAGCACGTATCTCACTTAGCAACAGAAATTTTGGGCTCAACTGTGGTCGTACGTCAAGGACTATCTGGTATTTTATAGAGTGCCTGATGTAATGCTTGCTTTTCTCTCCCTGGTGTCTTCTAAATGTGTTGGATTGTGATTCTCAGAATTTCTTATCAAGAAGGTATAATCCTGGGAGTTATAGTCAGGGTGCCGTACTAGGAAGGACATTTTCATTATTTTAGGATGATCACAGTCATAACCCGAAGTAGAAGCTGCAGCTCATACTGAACCACAGTGTTGTAGACAAAAGATCCTCCATTCAATCTACGACGTCTCTAAATAGACTCAAGAAAAGATCTTGCCTTAAAACTGAGGAGTTACTGCTGGTCAGCTTAGATGGTAGAGAACTAGAATGGCCAGTGATCCAATTACGGCCACCAGCTTTGCCCTTGCCAAACCATCAGCATATTTTCAGTGCTCTGCAGTGCTCCATGACTCTCTTAAATCAGACAGTGTTCCCGCCCAAGCAGCCAGAGGAAGAATAATAAAAACTGGCAGACTTGATACTCCAACCCCCTCTCTGTTCTTTCTTCAGCATGTTTGCTTCTTTGTGGCAAGGAACAAAATAGGGGGGGGGGGGGACTCTCTTGAGAATGCAGCAAAAGTATCCCTGAGAGCAGCCAGAAAGCAATTAACAAATTAAAAAAATACCAACCCAAAACCAGGGATGAGTCATGATGCAACTTGAAAAAATCCAGAAGCCTAGGAGTTCCTCCCAGTACACCAACACTGCCAGGAGCTGTGAAATTATTGATTGGTTAAATTTATTTGTATAGAATATAGAATTCTTTATTGGCCAAGTGTGATTGGATATACAAGGAATTTGTCTTTGGTGCATATGCTCTCAGTGTACATAAAGACAAGATACATTCGTCAAGAATTATAAGATACAACACTTAATGATAGTCACAGGGTACAAAGAAGCAACCAGGAAACAATCAATATCATTATAAATTGTAAGGATACAAGCAACAACCTTACAGTCATGAGTGGCAGGATATGGGTGATAGGAATGATGAGAAGACTAATAGTAATAGTAATGCAGCCTTTACTGCATTACTATTTACTGCCCATCTCATACCCAGCAACTCTGGGCCGCTTGAATGAAACTCAGCACAGTTCTCTTTACTTCCTTTGCACCAGACAAGCAGCCGAAGCAATTAATTTCAGTTTGAAAAGCCCTGAAAGGCCTATAGCATAATGGGGTTATGCAAGCCTGGCACTGGTGTTGATTTTGGGGGGGGGGGGGGAATTGGGTAAAGAAAAAAAAATCCACAGTAATAAATAGTTTTCTTCTGTGTGAGGACTGCAGAAAGACAAGAGGCCGCCTCCTCTAAAGGAGACTGTTTCCCTATGAACCCAGCTTGCTTCAGATTGTTTTTCCCAACCTAATGGAGACTGATGGGAAAAGGGGGACAACCCAGGTCATTGGCAGAATGCCTAAATGCTGCTTCGTCTTGGCAGTGAGTGTGGTCTGTTCCCTCTCCAGCATTGGAACACCTCCACCCAGTGGAAGCTGCTTGGAAGGAAAAACACCCAGAACTGTGACTCATTCGGACATGGAACAGGAGATCTTTGCTAAAGGCATTTCATATGGACTCAAGTGGAGCTTTAAATAGCTTCATTTGTTTCTTGTTCCACCGTGAACGTTTTCTCTGTGTTTACCCCACGCTGGTAATTTCTCACTCAAGGACTGCGGTATTCTTAAAGGTCATGGGATTGACTTTTCTTTACCAAAAATTTTAGTAGCTACGAAGTCCTTGGATTGTT